TGTGGGGAGGCCGACATGGCAAGGAAATACACCAAGGGTGCCCACTGGTCACCAGCCATTGTCAGAATGAAGCCCCCACCCAATAACGGGGAAACTCAGGCTTGTCCATTCCCAGCATGGAAAGGAGCTTGGAAAGGGCTCCTTCCCCCTTAGTCCTGGAGATGGTGGCAGCCAGACACCTTGATGGTAGCCTGAGAGAAACCCTGAGCCAGATGACCCCACCAAGCCCCTCATAGATTTCCGACACATTGAAACTGTGAAAAGAGAAATGCGCAAGAGAAATGTGATCAGGCCAGCTCGTTAGGCGGCACTAGATGACAGACAGACAGACAGATAGACAGACAAACAGACAGACACACACACACACACACACACACACACACACACACACACACACACACACACACACACGGTCTTCTCGACCTCCCGCCTTGCTGATGGGGAGGTCTCCAGTCCTTGGCCTTCATTCACTCATCTGTTTCTCCTCTTGCCACCCGAGCCTCTGTTTCCTGCTGCCAGCCATCTCTCCCTTCCCCCAAACTGGGATCTCTCCAACATCCCTGTTCTCCACATTCTCCTGGGCGTTGCCCACTCATGGCCGGGGATGTTCCCCACGGAGATTCCCCGTCTCTCACCACCACACTCTGGCTCCTGAATGGATACTTTATCTGGATGTTACTCTCGAGACCCAAATCAGTCTCGTTGGTGCCCTCCATCATCTGGCTATCTGCTTTCCATCAGTGACAGAGGTTCTCCCAGGAATGGGGTCGACAGCCTCCTGCGGCTCCCCAGGCTCTCCATCATCTGGCTATCTGCTTTCCATCAGTGACAGAGGTTCTCCTAGGAATGAGGTTGAGTCCAGAGGGTGGTAGGTCCTTCCTTTAGCCCTCAGAGGAGCCGTGGGAAGGAACAGGGAACTCACAAAGAGGAAGAGAAGAATGGGGTAGGGAAGGTCTCCAAGACAGGGTGTCTAAGCTTAGGGACTGAGTGACCACAGAGAGGAAATCAAAGAGAGTGACCTCTGTCCTGTGGCCATGTCCTGCTCTGCCTTCTCCTTGATATTCTCTGCACCCAGGCCTTTGGTGTATGTTGTGAGTGAGTGCATGTGTTGTGTGTGTGCCTGTGTGGTATGTCACCTAGCCAGGGTCACATCTTGCTTCAGCACCACAATTCAGCCCTAAAGGGAAATGACTCAGCTCTGGGTGGAGTCTAAACTTGCAGGTCAAGACCATCTTTCCAGGTCCTCTGGCAGGATGTTAGGCCCAGACACAAAGGTGTAGGGGGGTCCCTGTCAGAGACTGGGGTGTGCTTCAGGGGTAGAGGCTTGCCCAGCCTGCTTGAGAACTTGAGGTCATCCCTAGCACTAAAGATGTTTTGTTGTTTTATATCAAAATCAAGGAACAGCAGCCAAGCAGGATGACACACGACAGTATCCCAGTACTTGGGAGGTAAAAGCAGGAGTGTTTAGGGTTCAAGGTCCTCAGCTACGCAGAGAGCTTGAGGCCAGTCTGTGCTGTATGAGACCCTGTCCTAAAACCTCATCAGCTGTGTGTGGTGGCACATGCCTTTAATCCCAGGAGGCAGAGAGAGGTGGGTCTCTATGAGTTTGAGGCCAGCCTGCTCTATATAGTGAATTCTAGGCCAGCCAAGGCTACAGAGTGAGACTCTGTCTCAAAAACAACGGGGGGGGGGGGGGGGGGGGGAGGGCTGGAGAGATGACTCAGCGGTTAAGAGCACTGGCTGCTCTTCCAGAGGTCCTGAGTTCAATTCCCAGCACCCATATGGTGGCTCACAACCATCTGTAATGAGATCTGGTGCCCTCTTCCGACCTGCAGGGATACATGGAGGCAGAACACTGTATGCATAATAAATAATAAACAACAATGATGCAAAAACAAAACAAAAACCAAACCCACGAACTATCATCAAAAAGAAAGAAAGAAAAAAGAGCCGCCTCACTTGCAGAGACCATAAAAAAACAAGGAAAAAAGAACTAACCACCCGACAGAAAAGTGGTCCGAAGACACTCAGTGGTTCTCAACCTTCCCAATGCTGCCACCCTTTAGTACAGTTCCTTATGTTGTGGTGACCCCCAACCATAAAATGATTTCACTGCCACTTCATAACTGTAATTTTGCTACTGTTGTGAATCATAATGTAAGTATCTGATATGCAGAATATCTGATATTTGACCCCTCTGAAATGGTCTGTCAACCCCAAAGGGGTCATGACCCACAGGTTGAGAACCACTGGCATGCCTAGTGACTGACTGATCCTTCTTGACTTCTAAATGTCAATGGACCCTGAACTTATGAAAAGTCCAGCTTTTTTTGTAATGTGAGAAATAAAAAAAAAAAAAAAAAAAAAAAGGAGAGTGAGAGCCTTCCCACCCGCTCCAGGGAGGAAACGCCCCCAGTCCGTTAACATATTCAGTCCAAGAGCCTCGAGTCCTCTGTGTTCCCGGTGGAGAGGCAAAATGCTGAAGTCTCTATAACTCTGTAGACTTCTCCTGTGGAACAACCTCAGACTTACAAAGGAAGCTGCAATACGGTAGAAAGCCCTTTCCTGGTTCAGGGCCATTGTGAATAAGCGGTCAGCCCCCTGACATTCTAGTGTATATTACTTACAGATTGTACATTTTCTTTCATGGCTTCAGCGAAACCATCAAAACGAGGAAAGTAATATTGACTAATTACTACCACCTAATCTTTAGACCTAATTCAGATTCATCCAACTGTTCTAACAGTATATATATATATATTATTTTTTTTTTTTGAGACAGGCTCTTTCTACATAGCCCTGGCTGTACTGGAACTCACTCTGTAGACCAGGCTGGCTCCAAACTCACAGAGATCAGCCTGCCTCTACCTCCTGAGTGCTGGGACTAAAGGCGTGCACTACCATTTACTTGTTTGTTTGTTTGTTTGTTTGTTTATATTATGTGTGCATGTGTGCAAGAGCAAGTACCCACATACCACAGTGCACATTAGGAGAGGGCACCTTTGAGGAGTTGGTTCTCTCTTTCCACCATGGGTTCTGGGGATCAAACTCAGGTCATCAAGCTTGGTGACCAGTGGTTTTTCATCTGCTAACCCATCTTGTGGGTTCTTATGTATTTTGAGACAGAGTCTCACTCGGTAGGCCAGGGTGGCCTCAGGTTTGCGAAGTTACTCCCGCCTCCGCCTCCCCATGCTGGGATGACAGGTGTAAAGTCACTGTGTTACACAGCACGAAGATTTAAACAAAGCCTTTCGCTTTCGTGTGTCTAGTCCCCTTCCATATCGTAGAGTCAATTTTTTTTTCTTTTTTGTATTGCTGGTGATCAAACCAAAGGCCTCCTACATGCTAGGCAAGCACTCTGTCACCAAGCTACGCTCTCAATCCTTCAGTTTTTCCTGAACGTCCATGGTCTTGACTTTCTGGAAAAATGCAGTTAGTTAATGCGTAGGCCAGACCTCATTTAGGGTCTGTCTGGTGTCTTCTGAAGATCCGATTCAGGGCCCAGAATAGTGGCACACACCTGTAACCCCAGTACTTGTGAAATAGAAGCAGAAAGGTCAGGAATTCAAGGCTAGCCTCTGCTATATAGTAAGTTCAAGGACAGCCTGGGCTACAGGAAACAATGCTATGTCCTCTCCATAGCTTATTAGGTATAGAGCCACGGGGTTGGAATGGTTCTGCCCGGGTGGCCTCACAGAAGAGGGTGGCGGTAGGAAAAAAAAAAGAGGCTCAGAGTGGGGGACACTTACTAAAAGACGTGGAGTTTTGTGTCCTGGAGACAGTGAGAGATTCCAGGAAGTTCTACTGGGAAAATTCAAAGCCAAGATGAGTATGCCTTTCAAAGCTGGGTGGAGTTTGCTTAAAGTAGGGTCTAGTGGTGCATGCCTGTAATCCCAGTACTGAGGAGACAGAGGCAGGAGGATCAGCCTCAGCCACAGAGTGGCCCTGTTTCAAATCCTCCCACCCCTCAAAAGAAGTGCAAGAGGGAAAGATGGAAAAAAAGCCGGCATGATGGCGGAAAGAGGGGGCGTTCCCACCCTGAGCTGCATTTGAACCCTGGAGTTACCTGTCCCTGAGTCCCCACCCTTGGGCCTCCCAGGTCCCTGTGTTTCATTTGGCTGGGATGCCATCTCTGGCAATGAAGAGTTGGTGCCAGCACAGCCACCCTCCCTGTAAGACAGGTGGAAGTATGACCATTTGGTGCAGATGAAGAGCCAGCATCCATAGTGGTCCAAGATGGCCTTCTCCTGGCTGGTGTGACTTGAGGACAACTGGGATGGTGAGTCCCTGGGGGTTGGAGTGGGGCTGACATCACCAAGTAGGGAGGCTGGTGAACAGAGTCTGGAGGCCAGGGAGGCGAGTCGGGTGGCATGGGATATTGGAGAAGATGGAGAGGACAGAGGAGAGGACAGACACAGAGCTAGCTGACAGAGTGGGTATGCTGGGGTTGCCCTACTCCAGTCAGCAGATGAGGGCTGAGCTTTCAGTTATGGCCCCTGTGGAGAGAATGTCAGGGAATCCTGCTGCCAGTGAGAGGGTCCAAAGAGCCCCCATGGTGATCTCTGTGGCTAATTATCCAAAACAAACAAACAAACAGGGTTTCATACAGCTCAGGATGGTCTCAAACTTCTGATGACTTTGAACTTAAAACCCTGCTGCTTCTACTAGAGTTACAGGTGTGTGCCACCACACCTGTTTCTGTGGTGCTGGGGGTGGATGTCAGGGTTTTGTACTTGCTACATGAGCACTCTACCGAGTGACACTCTCAGCCTAATGTGTCTGGTCTTTGCGGCCTTTGGATAGCTTGATAACCAGTTCAACTCTAGTTGAACGGAACTGTATGTCTAGTTTTACCCATCAAGTGACATGCCCATCGACAGGGTGACATCCCCTGGTGCTTCCCCTGGGTCTTTCTGTCCGTCAGAGGCCCTGGATATTGCATGGACACAGCCCCCAGTCCCACCCTGCATACCCACAGAGGACGCATGATACTTGCAAACTTTCTACTCTACTTGCTTTATTGTAGTCACAGACATATAACACAAACATCACCGTTTTTAAGTGTATCAATGCATCCCATACCACCCGTCTCGGGAAGGCTTTCATATTTCAGGATGAAGCTCTAGCAGAGAAACCCTCATTTGCCATTCTCCCCATCCAGGCCCAGGTAGCCAGGATTCTACTTTGCCTGCACAGATTTGGCTATTCTAGGTACCTCATGTAAACAGGACCATGCAGCATGTGCGTCTGTGACTGGCTTATTTCACTCAGCGTGATGTCCTTCCTCAAGGTTCGCCCATGTTGAAGCACAGGTCAGAATTTCCTCTTCAAGCCTCAAAACTATCCCGGTTGTATATACAACATGATTATTCACTCATCTATTTGCGGGTGGACAGGTTTGTGGATTCAGGTTGCTCCCATTTTGTGACTACCACAAATAGTTATGAATACTTGTACACAAACACCACACATCTCTGCTTTTAATCTTGTTTGTTTGAGACAGGTCTCCCTGTGTAGCTCTGGCTACCCTGGAACTCACTATGTAGATCAGGCTGACTTCAAATTGTCAGCCATCCTCCTGCCTCTGCTTCTAGAGTATTGGGATTAGGGACATGTGCCACCACACCTGGCTTGCTTTCAATTCTTTTGGATATACTCCTAACAGTGGAATTTCAGAGTCGCACGGTTACACTGCATTTAACTTTTTTTTTTTTAAGATTTATTTACTTATTATGTATACAGAAGAGGGTGCCAGATCTCATTACAGATGGTTGTGAGCCACCATGTGGGTGCTGGGAATTGAACTCAGGACCTCTGGAAGAGCAGTCAATGTTCTTAACCTCTGAGCCACCTCTCCAGCCCGCATTTAACTTTTTGAGGAGTCACCAAACTGTCATAGAACTTGGTGGTTTTAAGTCACAGAGATTTGGGGATGTCTATTATAGGGATAACCTTTTCTTTTGGAAGCAATGCTGCATCTTAACCCAGAATGTCGAGGACCAAAGTGATGGGGTGTAGGGACCTGTGTTCACTGCTTTTCTGTTGTGACGAATACCTCACAGAAACATCCTAAAGGAGGAAAGCTGGACTTTGGTTCATGGTTTTTGAGGGTTCAGTCTGTGCATGTGGGCCAACTGTGGGCTGAACACTATGATGGCAGGTGCCGGTGGTAGAGGAAGCCGCCTGCCTCATAGCAGCCGGGACACAAGGCCAGAGCCAGACTGTGGCCAGGGCAAGATGTATTTCCAAGGATATGCCCTGAGTGACCTAGTTTCTCCAGCCTGGCCCCACGCCCTGGAGGTTCCAGAACCTCTCAAAACAGCGCCACCAGGCTGGGTGTGGTGGAGCACGCCTTTGATCCTAGCACTCAGGAGGCAGAAGCAGGTGGATCTCTGTGAGTTTGAGGCCAGCCTGGTCTATATAGGGAGCTCCAGGTTAGTCAGAGCTGCATAATATGTCTCAAACATAACCAAACCAAAAAACCCAACACCACCTGCAGAGGACTAACCCTTTAATGTACAAGCCTTTATGGAGGGATACTTCATATTCAAACTATAACAGAGCCTAAAGGCTACACCTATTTGAGCTGAACCTAGTTGTAGCATGAAGAGGGTCATCCAGCATTGATGTGCTACCTCTCTGGACCAAAGACATCAGCGCTGGCATCTAGAATCAACAGCGGAGCTCCATGACTGCTTCTCACTGGTCACAACGCCCCTATCATGGTTACTGTGGGTCTCATGACACTAGCAACACAGGCATCCAAGGCCACACGCTTTTAAGGCTCCCAGTGACATCACCATCAGTACTGAACACAGACTTCACATTTGGCCCTCTTGGTCAATTTCGGCTTCTTGGGGGGCAACTGTGATATGCCAACCTGAGTCAAGTGAACCCGGCCTTAACTCTTACTCTGCCGCTTCCCAAATCTGACAGGCTTAAAAAAGATGATGTGTATGGATGCTTTACCTGTACCCATGTCTGTGGACCATGTGGCATGCAGCACCATCAGAAGCAAGGTGTTGAATATCCCCTGGAACCGGAGTTAATAAACAGTTGTGGGCTGCCGTGTGGGTGCTGGGAATTGAACCCAGGTCCTCTGGAAGAGCAGCCAGTGCTCTTAACCACTGAGTCATCTCTCTAGCCTCAGGATGGGCTTTTTGTTTGTAGTTTTGAAGACTGAACCTAAGACCTGGTGATTACCAGGCAAATTCTCTACCACCAAGTTTCACCCCGAGTCCAGGCATGGGCTTCTTCACAGGGAAGTAGGGACAACACTTGACAAGGTGGCATGGACAAGGGAGAGGTGTCATGTCTGCTGGCTGCTCTTTGGAGGTAGTGCCATATAACTCTTGAGGAAGTTGAGGCCTTTCTCTAAAACAGCCTTGTCCTTAGTCAAGCCGGAAGCACCATTTGGAGGGGCTGTGGATTTGGATGGAGGAACCCTGCAGTTCATACTGTCATTCAACCAACATTTATGAGGACATAGCACGTACAGGTGCTACGCCGATGACAAATGGTGTCCTTGTCATCACAGGGCATGGCGAGAGTCTTAGAACCGGCCAGGCGAAAGACCATGCGTAGCAGAAAGGAGCACCAGTAGCTTGGGGGTGGGGATGGGGCAAGAGGTAGGGTGACATTAGAAGAGGTTAGGACAGTTGCCTGGGCGTGGCGAAGACTGAAGAGAAAGGTGGCCTGCAATATGAAAGGTGGTTCTGCGTCCCAAGGAATTAGGCAACTGTCCCCGTGACCCTCAGTGGGGTGTGTGGTGTGGGGACCTGCTTCAGCATTGAGGGTCTGCACATAAGTGTGATGCTAAGTGTGGGAGACGCAGTCCAGGACACTGGGGCACAGCTGAAGGTCTGGATGGATGGGGCTGTCCAGTGGCAGGAGGGAGGAGCCAGACGAGGAGGCTGGGAGTCAGGGGATCCAGCGCCAAGCTCCAGTGATGGTAGCTGAAGGAGATGTAAGCACTACAGACCCGGAGCCCTGAGAGCACCCCCACCTTGAGGGATCCAGGTCTAGGGCAGGTCTGTGGAGAATCTGGCCGCTGGAAGAGGTCTTCAATGTCATTTAGTTCAACCTCCCACCTCTTCAGATCTTTCCAGAGCCCACCTGAGGGCATCCAACTCTTCTTGGGCACATCAAGGTACGGGAAGCTCGCTCCCTTCTAGGCAGCCCACCCCACGGCGGTGCTCGAGCCCCTAGGGTGGCCTCGAGGCGCCAGGCGCTCCGACCTTGGCCGTGTGCAGCCGTCTGGCCACCGCGGCACCTGGCTGGGGGTGGCGACGCGGCTGGGCAGGCGCTGCTGTCCCCAGCCCCAGTGCTGAGGCGCGCAGAGCGCAGTGGGCTCTGGTGGAGGTCGGGAGAACTGCAGGGCGAAGGCCGCCGGGGGCTCCGCGGGCGGCAGGGGGGAGGCACTTGACACCGGCCCGGGAGAGGAGGGGCCGCTGTCCCTGCGGCCAGTGCTGGATGCGGGGACCCAGCGCAGAAGCTGCGCCAGGTAGAGGGGCGTCGCGCGGTGGGGAGGCTGAGGCCAGGCGGCGACTCGAGGGGCATCGGGCAACCCGGAGCTCAGCCCCGGCGGGGTGCCTGGCCCGGAGCGCTACGGCCGGGGCGCGGCGGGGTCCCGAACCCGTTCCTCCCGCCGGGGGCGCTAGGACCGCCCGCCGCCCGGGCCGCTCCCGCCGCGGCGCCCCGGGGCCCCCGGTGCTGCCTCCCGGGCGGCTCCGCAGCGCCGGGGCCGGAGCCAGCGCGGCCACGGGGGGCGAGCGGCGGGCGGAGGCCTGGGCGGCGGGCGGCCGGAGGGAGGGAAGGAGGAAGGCGGAGAGAAGGGGCGGGCGGGGGGGACCCGGCGGAGGAGGCGGAGAGAGGGAGCGCGACAGCGACGGAGGGAGGGAGCGCGGCAGGCAGCGGGCGGGCCGGGAGGCGGCGCGGGCGGCGGCGCGAGCAGAGGACGAGCCGGGACGCGGCGCCGCGGCAGCAGGGCGAGCCGGGCCGCCCGACCCGCCGGGCCACACGGTAACCAGCGCAGCCCCGCGGCCCCGGAGCTGGGAGGGCGGGCGGGCGGGTGGGCGCAGCGGGGCGGTGGGGAGCGCGGCTCGGACCCTGCAACTCGGTGCGCGGCGGCGCGGCGCGCGGGGGCCGGCGCTGCGGGCGCGGACGGCCCGGGCCGAGGGTTTGTTTATGTCCCCCTCGGCTCGCCCGCCGCCCCTCTCCTGCGCGCCTCCTCCACCGCGGACGCCCCTCGGCGCCCCCGCCCGGCCCGGGCTCAAGTTCAAGTCCGTACAATGCCGCGGGGGGCCTCCGCCGGCCTGCGCGCTGCCGCAGGGCCCCGCCGCCTCCGCCTTCCGGGCTCTGCCCCCGCCCCGGGGCCCTGGCAGGGCCTGGGGCCGTGCGCTGCGGGGCGCGGACCCGATCCGGAATCGGGAGGCGGGAGGAGAGGGGGGGGAGGAGGGGGAGGGGGCGCGGGCGAGCCGGCGGGCGGGCGGGCGGGCGGCCGGCCGGGGAGCGCCGTGGCCACGGCAGAAAATGGCAGCCTGGCACGACCCGGGCCCCGCGCCCCGCCCCGCCCCTCCCCCGGGCCTGGAGGCCCCGCGCGGCGGGGGGACCCTGGAGGCCCCCGGCAGGGCCGAGGGGACGGTCGGGGCCCGCGCCGGGGAGCGCGGCGTCGCGATCTTCCCGCGGCCACCTGTGGCTTGGGGGTGCGGGGCGCCGGCGGGCCTGGGAGGGGCGCGCGCGCGTGGGGAGCGTGCCCGTGCGGGGGGCGCACGCTCCCGCGGAGGCCAGGCGGAACGGCATGGGGGGGCGTCGAGCCCGGCTCCTCCCTGCCCCCGCTGCGGGCCGTGGGAGCGGGGTGGCGGCGGTGGCGGCGGCGGCGGCGGCGCCGCAGTGTGGGGGCGGGGCGGGAGTGGGCGAGGATCCCCGGGCCCCGGGGCCGCGGAGGACTGGAAGGTGCGGGGGCGGGAGCGGCCAGGCTGGAAATGACTCCGGTGGGGATGCCGGGGTCGCCCCCCTGCAGCAGACTCCCCCCCTCCTGCACACACTCACACGCACCCCCGCCGCCGCCGCCGCCGCCGCCGGACCGGTGTAGACGTGTCCTTGAAAGCTTCGCATCTGCACAGTGAAGGACGAGGCCTCGCGGAGGCTGCGGATCGGGGGGTCGCGGTCCCCACGTTGCCCCACACCTCAGGAGACCCCCCGAGCCTCCGAGCGGCGCCGGCCGCGGTCCGTGTCCCGCCCTCACCCGGGCTCCCCACTCCAGGCCGTCATGCCCTCCCTCCTCGTTGGCGCGGACCGAGCTGGCATGCGTCCAGGGCCCGCCCCCGGCCTCCCCCCCAGCCCCTCTTCGCGGGGCCCGCGGCCCTATGGCTGCCAAACTTCATTTTGCTTTTCCTGGAGCCTTGTCTTCTTGGGGGCACCCTCTCCCTGCGCTCCCCCCTCCGTGGCTTCCCCCTGTCTCTGCATCCCCTCCTCTCCTCTGCTCCTGCAGAGCCAGCTGAGTAGGTGTGGGCGCCCTGGGTGGGAGGGAGTAGGTTCCCACTGGGTCTTAGGGCTCCCTTCCCGGGCTCCCCAAGGGGAGCCCTCTGTGGCTGCACCTTGACCCAAGATGGCGTCTTGCACCCAGCTGGGCAGTTCTGGCCTTCGTAGGGCTGGGGAGGAAGGGGAGGAGGGCTGGGGGACCTCACGACTGCAACCCTCTCGAACTGGAGGGGACAGGAGCCTTCGGGGAGGAGTATCCTCAGCCGGGTGACCCAGCTTGCCCCTCGATGCCGTGCCCAGAGACTGCCATCAGCATCCCCTGGGGACAGTTCGGTCTTCATGTTTCACCCGGGGCTGCCAGCGGCTGAACCTCCTCCTGGGCAGGCAGGCAGGCGGGCAAGCTGCGCAGGGATTCTGGGATCAGGTGCTGCTCCGCTGTGCCTCCTCCCTCCCAGGCAGATGTGACAGCTGCAGCCTGAGGAGCTATATTCTTGCGTGGCTGGGGTGTTGGGACTGGCCTGTGGGATTCGGGAAGCCCAGCTGCCAGGCAGACCCTCTTTGCACTGTCCCCTAGGTTGGCGGGGGCCGTTTGCAGGTAGTTAGGGCAGTCGCTTGCCTTTGGCTGGTTGGGTTGTGGAAGTTCCTGTGGGCTTGTGTGTGTGTGTGGGGGGGGGGGTGGCGGCGGCAAGCTGATTAGTCTCCTCTGCCTCTGGGGTCCATTAAAAGCCCTGGTGGAGCTGTTGACAGGTGCGTTTGTGTGTGTGGGGGGGGCAGGGGTAGGTAGAGGCCCCAGGCCAAACTGTGTCATAGGTCTGGCACCTGCCTGCTTACCTTCTTACAGCCCCCTTGTGCTCCAGGCCCTGGTGCCTTAATCTTCCGCTCCCCTCCCCCCATCAGATCTGCAGCTCCTGATTCCTGGGCTCAGGATGGCCCAAGCTTCTCCTTGTTATCTGGCCCAGGCTCTCTCTGTGCTTGCCTGGAGCCTAAACCTGAGGGAAGGTGACTCCCCTTCAGACCCAAGGAATGAACATCCTAAATGCAGGGGCTGCCTTCCGCACTAGAGGAGACTAGAGAGGCGCCAGTGGCCATCTGTCAGCGTGTCTGCAGGCGGGATTCCTCTGTGGCTGGGGTTTGATGAAGCTTGAAGGCCCATTCTGACTTGGAAATTCTATGGCTCCAGTTTTCCTGGTGGAATTTCAGACCTAGACTAGGGATAGGGTGTTCTGTTTGTCCCTCCACGGGAGTGGTGATGGAGAAGGAGGGAGAGAGTAAGGGCCTGCCAGGGGGTGGGCCTCGGCAGAGACGGGAGGGATGGTGTGTTGGTGTAAAACACAGCTTCCATGCAGCCTTCACACTTGGGGCTCTCCTGAAGGTGTGTGTGTGTGTGTGTAAATCTGTGTGTGGGGGTAATTTGCAAGGGTCTTCCCCGGGTCAATCTGTTACAAGTCCCCCAGGCCTTAAGGATATGTCACTGTCATTTTTTTAAACCAGCAAGGGACAAGATGAGCCGAAGGCTCCTTCCCAGCATCTCTGGGTGGGAGGAATGGAGGGTGATCTGCCCTCTGGGGAAATCTGGGTGTTCTGTTGGACATTTAGTGGGGCTCCCATGAGGGGGTAGCTTGATCAGGTTCCCCACTCTCTCCCAGGATGTTGCTGTCTGTCTTAGTCCCGCGGCCATTATCTGTGTATAGACCACCTGGAGAGGTCACATCTCCCAAGTTCTTTCCCAGATCCCCTCAGGACTCCCGTTTTAGGGAGCCAGATCGAAAGGGGGAGTCTCAGCACAGCCTTGCCTGTCAGATGTGTGTGGACCCCCTTCTAAGATGTTGCCATTAAGGCTCCAGCCCTCAGGATTGTGGCTGGGCAGAGAGAGTTGAGGACACCTAAGAGCTGGGGTGGGGGCTTTGTGGGAGAGGCCAAGCCCAGTCCCTCCCATGGTTGGCCCTGCTACCCCGGGGCCTGAGGCAGAAGGGCCCCTGAGCACGCACTTACTGCCTCCTCCAGTTTGCTGGCCTAGGGTCCCCTTCACCACCTCCTTCCCACTGATGGCTGAGTGTGTCTGGCTTGTACAAGTGCGAGCTACAGTGTGGTCCTTGGGGGAGCTGCTTCTACCTCCATTTTAGTATCTGGTGGGTACCAGAAGCCATCCGCTTTCTTTCTCAGCAAGGCTGGGTTTCCGCAAGGGCTTTGATGCTCTGGACCAGGTCTCTGATAGTAAATTAAAGGTGCCAGGTTCCTTTCCATCCCCTCCTCCCCCCCTCGAGATCAGGTCTTGCTATGTAGTCAAGGCTGGCCTGGAATTGATCTTCCAGCCTCTGCCTCCCAAGTGTTGGTATTATAAGGAGGTTACTTTGTAAACTTTGAAGGCTTGTTTTGGGTCATTTGTCTTGTTTGTTTTATTTTTGAAATCACTCTTAACCCATACTGGTCCTAAGTTCTGCACTCAGCCCCCCTTGTGTCTGGCTTCATTTGTCTTGTTGTTTATAGTATTTTTCCCTAAGACATGAAGTTGAGTTCCAAAAAAAAATGCAACCCTTCCCCTGATATCTGTGTTGTGTCCGAGCTGCCTCCATTTGGCTAATTGTGTGGGTAAGATGGGGTCCGTGGGGTGTGTCTGCATGCTTGTGCAGATGTGTATGCACTGACAGCTTGCTTTTCGTGAGCCTGTTTCTGCACAGTGTCAGCAAGGGTCTCGTAGTTAGGAGGAGGTATCTGTTGACTCGGCCTAGCTGCAGGACTCCCAGGATGTGTGGAAGAGTCACCACCTTAGCCAGGGGTCAAGGTGAATGTGCGTGGGTTGTTGTCTCTGCATGTGGGTCTGCGAGTGGGGGGGGGGGCGCGTGCATTTTGAGGAGCCCCACCCACTTTCCTGCCTCTTTTTACAAAACCTTGGTTGGGTGAGGACAGTGCTGACGCCGTTTGAAAATCTTGGCAGTCTGTCCCCAAGTCTCACAAATGGCTTTGTCAACAGGTCGTCCAAGCACCTCCAGTCCCTCAGTGAGTCCCAGCGTTTTCCTCTTA